GTCATATACAAAATTGGATATTTTATCAACTGTCTCTTTATCGATTGGTGGGAATGAAAGTGTTTTTTCAGCATTTGGTAATACTTTAATTTCACTTTTCTTAAATTCCCCTATCAGAGAGTTTGCAAATTTTATAGCCAAGCCCACAGTGTCTGACTCTGGCATTTCTTTTTTCTTGGAATCTTCAGTAATAATGGGGAGAGAACAAAATTTGTGGACAAGATCAACAATTACGTCTTCCAAAAATGTAGCTGAATATAGAGAAGGCTGTGTCTTTTCTTTACCAGATTTAGTAAGTAAAGAGACATGGTCATAATCAGATAAGTCACTGAAAGATGATTCTTCGCCATGTAAAAATGGCTGTAAATGATGATCCATGATTTCCTTCATAATGAAGCCAGCTATCTTACTGAGAAACGAGCCTCCCTTTTTGCCTGCACTTCTTTTTACTTCATCTTGGAATTCAGATTTCTTCAAAATATTATTACAGATGGAGTCAATCAAATTTTCAGTAGCTTCTAATTGCATACTTTCTATGTTATCCTCGGCCGTAGAAAGTCGAATCTCATGTTCAGAAATTTCTTTTATAATTTCATTAGTTAGTTTTGAAGCTGCATCCACAAACTCATAATCTGGTGGAACCTCTTCTTCTAGTTCATTTTCAGTGTCAGTTGAACGGAAGATATGAACTAGGAGCTTGTAAACCATATTTTCTAAAAGAGAACGAGGCAACACAGTAATACATGATGGCAGCGCATGGCTATCCTTCATGATGATGTTGAGGACACGAGTGATGATATTATCAGCTTGAGGGGAAGAATAGGAAGAAGACACTAATTCTCCTGAAACTAATGATTGTATCTGATGATCGTAAATTTCTTCCAATAGCAAATGATATATTTTCCCTCCAAAACAGACAGTGTCACTTTGTATAGCCCTATATATGTTAATCAGAGATCTATATTCATCTAATATTTTTTCATAGATTGAGTTGACTGTTTTTTGAACCATTTCTTTATATCCTTCTGTAAAACACAAGTTTTTATCAAAGTTATCTGCAACTAAAAGCTCTGATGTGGTGAACTCCATAACAATGGAATTTACCAATGTTGTAACAATGCTAGTAATTTTGGCTTTTGCTCTATCTGGGTTTTCAGCAGCCAAAACATTATGTGAAAATGCATAAAGGATTTTGCATAAAAGCTCAGAAATTACTTCCTCCAAAAAGACAGCTGAGTTCACAATAAGAGATAATTCTCTTTGTTTAGGATCTATTGCTTTTGTTTTATAAGTTCGATCAACTGCAGCTGAAAGGAGAGATTTATCTCCAGATAAAAATGACTGAAGATGATGG